TATTTTTTCGTCCTATTTTCTGATCCTGTGTACTAGGCTTTAGATTTCAGCGCATAAGGCAGCCCATAGATAATTTGATTTTTTTTCCTTCCACCACAAGTGGAAGGTGGGGAGCCTTCCCAGAAAACACAATGATTGTACTATCAGCTTTAGTTGCAGTGGCGCATGTAAGGGTTGTACAAAGCTTTCTTATGTGTGTGTTTTTTCAGGATGGAGGGTGTGTGGGTCCTCGGGCCTTACCTGAAGTTTTGTGGCCATACGGTTCCTTCCTCCCCTGATCCCTAGGGGGTTTTCTCTTTCGGGAGAACCCCCTTGCCTAGTACTGGATGTCCGGGAGCTGGGCATAAGGAACGGTGGTCCAGGCCTTTTGGCAAAACCAAATGGGAACAGGAGCTTCGTGCCCCGGGGGATTGCTGCTGAACGGTCAACCCTTTCGGGGGTAGGACAAACACACCCCCTAAGTGCACGTGCTGGTGGTGTGTGTGTTTCTGCACTTGCACTTTTTTGCGGACACTTACGGGTTTTTACGTTATAGTTGCACGTTTGCGGACTTAAAAAAAAAAAAAATCTGGTTGTACCAAAGCTGATCAATGGATCGTCTTGGGTTCAGTCAACCTGTCTATACATGGATCAGATCTCGGCCAGTCTCTGCTGAACCAGACAAATTTTCATCAGTGTATGGCTGACTGAAGTGTGTTGACCTCACTATGCTTTTACTCCATTGTTTACTTCCTCCAGTCCATGTGGTAGCTACCGTGACCTCCCAACGGACCTGGGGCTGTGATGTACACAGTGCATGGGCCTGTACATTGCACCCACATCACATTGATTGCACCGGTAATTTCCGGTGAGTGGAACGCACGCCGAGCGGTGCGTTCCAAGGGGCCATCTTTGCCTAGTGAATGAGGCTGCATCTGAGGTCTGTTATCCTGCTGTATACCTGGCTGTGGGGTCTCTATACAGAAATTGGAAAATCGTTTTTATATGAAAGAAAGATCGTTTTGCTTCAATAAAATGCTGGTTAATATCTACTAAAATGTGAGTGGTCTGGTTAAAATTCTTCTGAGATTGGAATTTATAACGGTATCACGCTATGGTCTTTTTTTTCTTCTTCCTGATTTTTGGTGGATTCGGTGAGAGGAGTAACCGGAGGAGGTTTCTATGTTTAGAGGAGGCAATATTTGGAGGTTATAAAAAAGGGGGTCCAGGAGCCCTTAATATCCCTGAAAGGCGTTTTACTCACCAAATATCTGGTGAGTGCGGTTCATGTTGGTTTTGCACTGGTGGATGGTGGAGATATTATTGGCACAGAAGAATCCAATGAAAATACAGTTTTTTCACGGGACTGTTTTTTGAATTTTTCACTGATTTTTTTCAGAAATGTTTTTAAATCACTTTAATTATTATTTTTTATGTGTCACAATGTATTTTGATTAATATTATTTATGGGCTGAGTTATTTATTTATATTGCTTTGTGGGTTTTGCGCTGGTTTAAGTAGAAATACTTTTTTTGGTTTTGCACCTGTGTACAGCAGCATCTCACGGGGAATAGTGTGTGGGGGGCAAGGGAGTCCTGGGCGCTGAGGTTTTTTCTTTCTTTACTATGTCTTTAATGCTAGGTCCGCTTAGTGTTTTAATAATTGAAAAAATCTACTCAAAATAATTAGTAGATTTCCTTTAAGCCAGAAAGCACTAAACTATGAGTGCCTTTTATTGAATTTTCCAAATTATATTTGGGTGTTTGAAAGCTGAAAGGGACAAGGGTCATACATTGTGCAGACTGCTTATCTTCAGACCATTGTGTAACTATGCCAGGCTCATAAAATACCTTCCCACTGTGAGTGTATGGAAGTGAATTCTTGGATTTTAATTGATCCCGCTCCTCCTGAATCTCGGACCTCTTCCCGTGTGCCTTGTCTATTGATAAATGACAAATGGCTGGCTTTCCATGCCCCCGCCTGAGTCAGGAGCGTGCCCGTGGCCACACGTGAAGTATCTGCATTAAATAGCCCCGCTCAAGCCTTTTGTGCTAATTTTCTTTTCATTGCTTGCTATGTTTCCTGTTTGTTGAGCTTTTCATTGTGTTTAATTGAATAAAATGACCCCGTTTCACCGCCCATTGTTAATATTTCTGCTTTTATCTATTTATAAAGTGACAACACATGATATGGGGCAGCACAATGGGAAGTTGAAAGCAGGAAATGATACATGTCTATCTTCAAGGCTCGGGCACAGAATCCTGCAAACTAGCATGTAGTCACTAAGCAGTTAATAGGTGGATTCAGTTTTGGCAGTGGGAAAGCATGCCCACTTTTCCTACCCATTCAGTTATGAATGTTTCATGAATGCCTCTCATAAGCTAAATCAATTTCCAACCCATTGTACACTCCCATCTATTCAATATCACAGCTGAGCTGCCGCTCTATATTGTTCATCCATGAATCAAGACTTGTTTCTTTGATTTCTATAATTTTTTTTTGTTTCTCTCTTCCCTTGAGAAATTGTAAACTCTTTTTTGCAGCGGTGATTGTGTACAAGCTATTATTTATTATGTTTTTTTTGTAGCTGTTATGTGTTGATGAATAACAGATATACTAGCTCGTAGTGTGACTTCATATTTGTAGAATGGGTTGTGGGTATAAAAAACACTCAGCCTGAAAGCTTGCAGTGGCTGCCTGTCCTCTGTGTAATTATGTCTAAATTATGTTGCCCTATGTCTGGTTTGTGATACCCATCAGTAATTGGATAATAACATCGATCCTTAATGTCCTTTGTAGAGATTGGATTATGCCTAGCCGGGGTGCAGTAGTCTGTCCCAGATGCGGCTGCTCTTGTGATTATAGAAGAAGGTTTATTCTTTTTTGCTACTAGTAGAATATATTTTTGAGCTAACTCGTGGGGGGTAGCTTATATAAGACGGGTAGTGAAACATCTGACTGTCCTTGAAGGAGTCATTTGCTGCTGGGCTCTGCTGCTAGCTTCCCAGTTTAGCCAACTGATGTTAGTACGTGCAGCAAATTTTTAGTTTCCCTGAGCAGGAACAAGTTGGCAATTAGTTGGTATCAATTTCCAGCAGAAACTCTCATTTTTGTACTTTTTTTGGCTCAAAGTCCAGTTTGTTGCTTACTTTCATTGGCCCTTGTATGGCTGCTATTAAAGCCAAATTAAACCCTGCAATTCTAACATTAGAAAAACGCACAACAGTATTAAAAGTTGACATTTAAAAAAAAAATTTGCAGGTAAAAAAAATTTGCATTTTCTAATTTTTTTTTAAGAGCCTGGAACTCATAGCACCATTGATCAGATCAGCAGCTCGCTGATGCCATGCAGTACACCTGCAGACCTGACAGTGTAATCTGTTTGACTGACGGTGCCATGATAGTTCACTGAGAACTACAAGCTGATAGCCTCAAAGGATGTTGGTACTTGTAGTTGATAAATTCACAGGACTCTGTAAATGAATGGTGTGGCTGTGTGGGCGAAGCCCTGCACAGCCACACACTTTTCAATAAGGGACAGCTGGTACAGGGAACTTCTCCCCGTACTGCTGTCACACACAGGGCTTGGATCGCTGAGCTGCTGCAGGAGCGGGAACATGAGAACGGGTGGAACATGTACCATGTTCCCAAAAGCGAACTTATCCTTTAATCCCTTCATGCTTGCCCCGGTACCCCTTTAAACAGTTCATAATGACTGGGGTGTGGGAAGGATTTGTGATCATGTGACCACTGTCAAAGTGTTCACATGGTCAGAAACTGGTCTCGCTGTCTTTGATAGTTTGGTCTATGTGCTGGGAGCATGCAGTGAATGTGCTCTGCACATAAACATCGGCCATTCAGCGACTCATGAGACGCATTAGAGCAAACATATGTGTTGAGCAGCCATAAAGGAGTTCAGAAGGATCACCATGTGATTACCAGTCAATTCATGCAGGTTTAATGTTATGCCAACCCAATTTTTTTATTTATTTCATTTCTCCCTTTCTTCTGCTGGATCCGGATCCATTTTGAAATTTTATTCTGTTTACTTCCCCAAACCCAGCTTCTGCCATTAACTGACATTGTTCAGCAGTCTTGCACATATGCGTACTCTATATGCTTTACCTGTTTCTGTTGATATTGACGTAGGCCTTGAATAAATCTTTCAAAATGAATACTAAGGCAGGTTATACATTATGCAACCAACGGATTGAACGAAAAATGCCTCGATTCCCCAATCCACACATTTGGTGTGGATGGGGGAATTCCTCCTACTTTTGATATTGTATTCTGACAAGGGGAAGCCTTCCCTACCATCAGAATACAATGTTCAGTGTTGCCAGCTTTAGTGATCAGTGATCGTTTAAGAAAACTCGACTGGTCAGCCTGGGTTGGGGCGGCAGTCCCCTGTCAGAACACAATAGCTCAGCGGGGAGTTCACTGCAGTAACATATTGAATAGTACAGCGAGCTCCTCCTGAGCTCTTCAGTTTTTTTTTTTTGTTTTTTTTTGTTCAGCCCGCTTAGTACATTCTTAGTAGATCATAGTTCTCTGCAAAACCTCTACAGTTTCTAATTTCCTTTCGTACCTGCACATTTGGGCTGCAGCTTCCGTTAAAGCAGTATTAAACCCCAAACCAAAAATGTAATCTAAAGCAGCTTACCGATCCTTAGATCCTTTCTTTGAATTTTTCCCCCTCTATTTTCACCTGATGATCTGGCAAGTAATACACCTCCTGTGATAGAGAGACACGACTCTGGATGAATGAGCACAGGGGGCACAGCAGACCGCTGCATTGTCAGTCTGGAGGAAGGGAAGTGTTAAATGTATTAGCAGATATAATAACAGTAATTAATTTAAAGTGATTCTAAAGGCTTGTTTGTTTTTTTTTTAACCACCTTGCGCCCGCCATATAGTAATATGATGAATGCAAGGTGGTTCTCTCGTTCTGGGAGGACGTCATATGACGTCCTCCCATTCTCACCGCGCATGCGCGGCTCCCGGAGCGCGCAGCTCGGCGGTGTGCTGTGTCCCTCGGACACAGCGGATCACCGATCCACGGAAAGAGCCGAAGATGTTGGCTCGTTCATGTGATCAGCTGTGTCCAATCGCAGCTGATCACATGTAAACAGGAAAATGCCGGTTATCTGCATTCCGCGGAGGGGACATCTACACTGATCATCAGAGCACTGATGATCAGTGTGCCCTGATGATCAGTGTAGCCCTAGCAGTACCACCTGTCAGTGTCCATCAGTGCCAGTGCCCCCAGTGCCGCATCAATGCCACATATCAGTGCCTACCAGTGCACATCAATGCCACATATCAGTGCCCATCTGAGCTGCCTTTCAGTGCCGCCTATCGGTGCCATCAGTGCCATGTATCAGTGCTGCCTTTCAGCGCCCATCAGTGATGCCTGTCAATGCCCATCAGTGCCACCTATCAGTGTCCATCAGTGCAGCCTATCAGTGCCCATCACTGCAGCCTCATTAGCGCACATCAGTGAAGGAGAAAAATCACTTATTTACAAAATTTTATAACAAAAACTAAGAAAAACATTTTTTTTTTCAAAATGTTCAGTGGTTTTTGGTTTGTTTAAGAAAAAATAAAAAACCCAGAGTTGATTAAATACCACCAAAATAAAGCTCTATCTGTCACAAAAAAATGATAAAAATTTCATGTGGGTACAGTGTTGCATGACCGCGCCATTGTCATTCAAAGTGCAACAGCGCTGAAAGCTGGAAATTGGCCTGGGCAGGAAGGGGTATAAGTGCCCTGTAGGCTTGTGGTTAAAGAAAAATATAACAATCATATCTATAAATACCTGCTGTGTCCAGTGGTTTTGCACAGAGCAGCCTGGATCCTCTTCTTCTTGGTCCTCCGCAGGCTCTCCTGGCAGTGTGCTATAGGGTCACCTGCTGCTCTGTGTATCCATTCACACACGGAGCTGCAGCTTGGCCCTGCCCCCTCTCTCTTCTTATTGGCTCACTGCCTGTGATTGACAGCAGTGGGAGCCAATGGCTCCTGCGTCTGTCTCAACCAATGAGAAGAGGGAGTCCCGGGATAGCTGGGACTCCAGTGCACATCACTAGGTCGAAAGAGGGCTTAGGTGAGTATTAGGGAAGTGGGGGGTGTTGCAGCACACAGAAGGTTTTTTACCTTCATGCATAGAATGCATGAAGGTAAAAAACCTTGAGCCTTTAGAACCACTTGAAGCCAAACTCCAGCTCAGACTTTATAATCTGTTACAGCAAACAGCTTTTTGTTTTCTTTTTTCGGATAAAGGTTTGAATAAATAAAAGCTGATCATTTTAACTACTCCTGCCAGTGTTAAATGATTTGTCTCATCAATGCAAGCTGATGCATTCTGCTGGAGTGTTTGAGCTTTTGAAAAACAATTAATTTACTGGCTGTATTACCCTAGCTGTGGCTATAGATGACTTTTCTTTTTTTTGATCAGCTAGCGGGCTGAACATTAAGGAAAAAAAAAAAGTTTCCTCCATCCATACATGCGAGGTGGAGAGAGGAATCCTCTCCGATGAGACATTGAATTCTGAGCTGGACTCTCCATTGTCAATATAATGATCAGCTGCTACAGCCGGCTGATCGAGAACAAATTTCCAACGAGCCTCTCTGACAAAAGTCCATCTAACAATGGACTTCTGTCAAACCGGTATGGCCAGACATGGATCGAAATTGGGGTGGTCCTTGCTGTACTGGCCAAATTTGATCCATCTATGGCCAGCTTTAGTCCTTTCCTCTTCACATTACCTAGCTGCTGTCCAATACATCGGCCAGGTTTTACACGGTGTATATAGAGCCCCCTTGACTATATGAAGTGATGTTCTGTTTTGATGCTGACATTGATTTAAACATTTTTAGGTTAATGTTAATTCAGAACTTGCATCAGTTTCCGTCAGAAATTATCTGGAAGCAGCAGACATGGCAGCTAATTATACTGTTGGGTGCCTGGTCTTGTTCATTATGCATATTTTAATGTAGAACCTTGGAACTCCAATTATTTCAGTCAGCTTCAATGAAATAAGTAACACAGCAATTTGAATAATGTTTATAATCGAGTTTATCTGAGGTTAGAACATGGGCACAAAAAAGTATCACTTCTGAAAGGACTCTAAATTTTCTGAATTACACATGGTAAGTAAGGAGTGGGGGGTCATTAGGATACCATCTGCCTGCCAAAAGATCTTTATTATTTATTTTTCAGTCTTGTATAGAGTACTAACGTTCTTCACAGCACTTTACCTTGGAAGGTAAAGCCCTCACATATTTTGTCTCCTCTTACGGGCACAGTTGTGTTTTTAGTACATGCTTGGACTGTGACCTAAGGCACTGGGCTTGACTGATGAAAACAGCACAGAAAGTAAGTCCCCCTTAGCTGGTCAGACCTTTTTTTAGTGGGGTGCCATTGATGTCTTTTGCTTTGATCCAGACTGACATATGAAATTGCTAAATTTGCAGATATCAGACACTAGGGGGGATATTTACTGGAGCACTCAGAATCTGGCGCTGCTGTGTATGGTAGCCAATCGGCTTCTAACTTCAGCTTGTTCAGTTAAGCTTTGGCAGTAAAATCTGGAAGCTGATTGGTTTCTATACAGAGCTGCATCAAATTTTGCACTCTCCAGTTTTGTAAATAACCCCAATGTGTCTTATAGTTTGTGTTTCTTAAGTCAATTTTTTTTTTGTAATTAAAATAATAAACATGTTATACTTACCTGCTCTGTGCAGCGGTATTGCTCAGAGCGGCCCTGAGCCTCCACTGCTGGGGTCCCCTGCTGGTGCTCTCTGCTCCTTCTTTTCTGTGTCTGCGCCTATAGCAAGCTGCTTGCTTAGAAACAGACATGCAGGTCTGATCTAGAGCCAGGCAGTGTGCATCCATTGACACACAGTGCGGTTCGGCCCCACCTCCCTGATCCCTTCTCACAGCTTTTGATTGACAGCAGTAGGAGGCAATGGCTCCCACTGCTGTCTCTGTGTCTCAGAGTAGAGGGAAATTTTCTACAACAAATCTCTGAACGTTCAAATGTCATTCGATAGTTTGTTTGCTTTTAACATTTGATTTTGAAATGAATGAGCTTTACAGAAAGAATTACACATTCACTATTAGCAATTTGTGTTCAACAGACATTTTCCATTCAAATTTTCTCAATCACTGATCGAAAATAAATGTCAATTTGACCCACTAATGATTAGAAAAATGTGTAAACTATCTTTTTCTAGGAATATTGAACGGAAATTCTGCTGATCTATGGCCAGCTTTACTCCTGCTGTAGTGCTTCGGTGTTGTATGTGTCTTACCATGGCACTGTTGTTACACTGAATGCTCCAGTGAACCCTTCCAGGACTTAACCTCGTTTAATTTGCAGCATGCAAATTTAAAAGCGGAGTTCCACCCAAAAGTTGAAGCTCTGCTTGTTTGCTTCCTCACCCCCTCCGCTGCCATATTTGGCACCTTTTGGGAGGGGAGCGGGTACCTGGTTTTGACAAGTACCCGCTCCCACTTGTGGCTCAGTTCGCTGCGGCAAACAGAGCCAGAAGTTTGGCCCCCTCCTTCCTCCCGTAGTCTCCTGGGAACCTTCACAGGTCCCAGAAGACTGCCAGACCAATCAGGCTGCGCAGTGCAATGCACACATGTGCAGTGGGCACCCGACTATGAAGCCGTGAGCTGTCACAGCCTGGTGCCCACAGTTGAGATGCTGGTGTGTGGAGAGAAAGAAACAGCGCAGGTGAGAACATCGCTAAACCCCAGGACGGGTAAGTGTGTGTTTTGTTAAAAGTCAGCAGCTACAGTTTTTGTATCTGCTGACTTTTAATAAACATAAAAATGGCTGGAACTCCACTTTAAATCAGCTTTCTAAATTGCACAAAATCATTACAGATCAGAAGTAAATGTGCAGTGGAGGCTTCCTATCCTCCTGTGCAGCTTGTTTGCTTTAAAGCAGTTGGCACAATTTAGTCCATGACTCTTGATTTGTCACAAACTCTTTTCAATGTTAGCCCAGTTTTCATTTCATATATGATAGAAGATCTTTTAGGCTTCAGTCACAGAGGTGGCTGGTGGAAGAACAGCTGCATTTACAGTGCGTGCGAACGGCAGCAGCAGCAACTGTCTGATTTGTACGCTGTACAAATTAATGGCCCAGCGCCACTGATGTTGGCATGTATCCGCTCATCCGAGTGGAACCATGCGATTAGGGAAAGTTTTTGTGCAGGCATGGTGTTTTGACTTGCATGCTAACTGGCCATTTTACATGCACCAATAACACAGAATGCTGTGTCCAGTGCTGGCATATAGCCCTTTTCTAAACCCAGCAGCCTATTCACCGCCATTTGTTCTTCTGAATGAGGCCTTATGGTGTTCTAGATCAGGGGTCTCCAAGCTTTATAAACGAAGGGCCAGTTTACTGTCCTTCAGACTTTAGGGGACCAGGGCTGTGGCCAGTGGTAGAAGAAAATGTCCTGGCATCAGTGGGAGTAAACAATGAAAAAACATTGGTATTAACGGGAGACATAGTGCTCCCATCACTGGTATCAATGGGAGGAATAGTGCCGTATCATGGGTTTCAGTAGGAGTAATAATTACATAGTTAGTCTGGCTGAAAAAAGACAAAAGCCCATCCAGTTCAACCATAGAAAAAAAAAAAGTTAGAATCCTATACCCACAGTTGATCCAGAGGAAGGAAAAAAAAAACCCAGCAAAGCATGATGAAATTTGCTCCTGCTGGGGGAAAAAAATTCCTTCCTGATCTCCCGAGAGCAAATTGGATATTCCCTGGATCAACTTTACATATAAATGTTAGTATCCAGTTATATTCTGTGTATCTAGGAAAGAATCCAGGCCTTTTTTAAAGCAATCCACTGAGCTGGCCAGAACCAACTCTTGAGGGAGTCTATTCCACATTTTCACAGCTCTCACTGTGAAGAAACCTTTCCGTGTTTGAAGATTAAATTTATTTTCCTCCAGACGTAAAGAGTCTGTCCTCTGTGATGACCTCAAGGTGAATAACTCTACACCGAGTTCACTATGTGAACCACTGATGTATTATACATGTTGATCATATCCCCCCCCCCCCCCCCTTAATCTCCTCTTCTCAAGAGAAAATAAATTCAGTTCCTCTAATCTTTCCTCATAGCTGAGCTCCTCCATGCCTCTTATCAGTTTAGTTGCCCTTCTCTGTACTTTCTCAAGTTTCCCCAATGTTCTTTTTGTGAATTGGTGCCAAAAACTGAACTGCATATTCCAGATGAGGTGTTACTAATGATTTGTACAGGGTAATATGATATCTCTCTCTCTAATGCCCCATCATTGGTGTCAGTGGGAGGAATAGTGCCCCATCATTGGTGTCAGTGAGTGGAATAGTGCCTTATCACTGGTGTCAGTAGGCGGAATAGTGCCCTATTATTGGTGTCAGTGGGAGCAATAATGCCCCATCATTGGTGTCAGTGGAAGGAATAGTGCCCCATTGTTGGTGTCAGTGGCGGGAACTATGTCCCACTGTTACTGATGGTGGGGAAAATAATGCCCCAAGGACCGAATAAAAGCAAGCAAAGGGCCTCATCCGGCCCCGGGGCTGCAG